TTAATACGTCCCTGCCGAATGTTACAGCGTTCGATGATCACGTGGTCTTGTTTATGTCCGGTCTATCTCTTATCTGAATATACTGTAGTAGCATTTTTAACGCTGGTAAAAATGAGAAATAAAAAAAAACAATTGAGAGTCGTTATTTTATTTTTTTCAGTAAAATAACATTTTTTTAAATAGAAACCCCTGTATATTATATTTTTTTCTGTTAAAGCATCAAATTTTAAACAAAAAAGTTCATAATGACTTTTCCGCTAAAGTCAAAAATAAAGTCAAAATAACGATAAATATTTTTAATTATTTGCAGTATTATAATATTAAGACGGCTATGAAAACAACATGGCGTTCGCGATTTGACAGCATTAAGATAAGCGACAAATTGTTAAACTGGACATACTCGCAACTAGAAGGCTTTGGAAAACAATGATAAAATCAAATAATGTCAAACATTAGTGTAAATACTTGTTTATAAGCTTTATTGTGTCATTAATTTAAAGAAAAATGTTCTCCCATGAAGAAAAGTGTGATATGTTAGAATGCTACTTAGTGTGCAGAACATCCTCCTTGAGAGCAAGAGAATACTACAGTGAATTATATCCCGCTCGCATTCAACCGTATGAACGATATTTTCTGAGACTTTATCGAAAATTTAGGGGCAACGAAAATGTTTTTGCTAAAACAAGGGCAAAAAAAGAATTCATAATAAGCGAGGCCACGGAAATTGCAGTTATTGGATATTTTGAAGCTTATCGTGAGAATTCAATAGCAGATATTCTCAAGGACTCTAATTTCAGTTATGGTACTGTTCAAAGGATTTTAAAAAAATACAAATTTATTCCGTATAAGTACCGACCAGTTCAAACGCTTTTGGCAGGGGATCCAGAGAGAAGACTTGTTTTTTGCCATTGGTATCTTAGCTTCTGTCGCCAAAATGTAAATAACTTTCGTTACCTTTTATGGACAGATGAATCAAATTTTTCAAATTCTGGAATGTTTAATAGAAAAAACCACCATTATTGGTCAAGAGAAAATCTTTTGTTAGTACATCCAAGAGGCCCACAAGTCCGTTTCAGTTTCAACGTTTGGTGCGGTATAATTGGTTCAAAAATTGTTGGCCCGTTCTTTTATGAGGGAACCCTAACTGGTGAAAGATATGTGGAATTTATGTCAGAAATTCTGACTAATTTCTTAGACGAATTGGATCTTATAAGTAGACATCATCTGCATTTTCAGCAAGATGGCGCACCTGCCCACAACTCCAGAGGTACTTATCATTTTCTAAGTACTACTTTTAATGATCAGTGGATAGGAACAAATGGCCCAATACAGTGGCCTCCCAGATCACCAGATCTAAACCCACTTGATTACTTCTTGTGGGGTTACTTAAAGAACCAAATTTACAAGCGAAGGTACGATAACCTTGACGCGTTAAAGACTGCAGTTAGGGAAAAGATAACCCAGATAGATGGTAGGACCATACTTAAGACAGTTCGAGCAGTTGAAAAACGTGCCCAAAAATGTATTGAAGAACAAGGTGGTGTTTTCGAGCATCTTCTTTAAAAAAAATTGTTATTGTATTTTGTAAGATTATAAGTTGATGTTGAAAATAAAGTTTGTCGATACAATTTAATTGTTTCAGATTGGAGGCCATAACTTCAACAATTTGTAACCTAGGAGAAAAGTTATTGTAAGCTTTTTTGTTTAAAATTTGATGCTTTAACAGAAAAAAATATAATATACAGGGGTTTCCATTTAAAAAAATGTTATTTTACTGAAAAAAATCAAAATAACGACTCCCAATTGTTTTTTTTTATTTCTCATTTTTACCAGCGTTAAAAATGCTACTAGTTTGCTAATTCAAACAACTTTGTATTTTCACTAATAACAAAGTTACTAATGGTGGACACTTAATTTGGATAACCCTGTATATTAATATACAGGGTGGCCAAACACGTGACGTCATAAAAAAAAAATTAGATTCCCCACATCGAGAGGAACCCAAATCACCCCCATATATATGGTCCGATTTTGTTTAGTTTAGGAGTTATGATTTTTTTCGGATTTTTCGAGAATTTTTGAGTTCTGTGTTTATTTTTACCATAACTTCGTTAATAATTGTGATAAATGCCTGCTTTTTTCACGATTATGTAGCTAAGACCTAAGGCTTAACTATCATATAATCATTCAAGTCATGTAACTAATACTACTTTTTAATTTTTTTCAAAATCTTCGAACATAACAAAAAAGTAAAAAAGTGCAACAACTTTGAACGTTTATAAAAAATTGAAAAAACATGTTCTTACTATTCGTAAGTATCTTAAAAACTTCCTTACGGTATCAGCTATTTACCGTAAAAATTTCATCAACCTAGCTTTACTACATGCTACCGTAATTGTGGCTCAAATAGAACCGAACCCAAAATTGGATAACCCGCTGCTCAATAGAAATTGTTAGTTTCGGAAAAAAAATTTGCAAAAACCTTATCGGTTCATCGCATCGGAAACAAAAAAGCGAAAGAATTTGGAACGATGTTTATTTTATTCAGTTCAGTTATACATACAGTCAGTGTCAGTCGCGTGTAAATAGTGTCTGTTGCGTGGCTCAAACGAAATAAAAAATGGCACATGTTTATGCGGATCGGTTTCCCAATCGAGTGCAACCAACCCCTCGTGCCTTTGTTAATGTAGTACAACGGGCTCGTGAATCAGGTGACTTCAGACGTCACAGGGGACCTCACGATCAAATACAGGTCCGCACTGAAATAGTTGTCGGGAGGATACTTTATAAAACAAGGTAAACATTTTTTTTTATTTTTACACACATATTTTGGTTTATCTTCCTTCTACAATCATTATCTGAAAATTAATGACTCAACTTCAAAGTCACCCTGTATATAAAGAGAAAATTATCATGCGGAGAAAGGTCTATAACAAAGCCAACCAGCAGAAATACGTATCGCTCGGGTTACCTATCCTATTTTCTGCTCGAATCCACTTTTTGCGGATTTTGTCCATTATTTTCCTATTTTTGTTATATATATATATATATATATAACAATTAAAAAATACAATTAATTGTTAATTGGGAAATTGGCAAATTTTTAGGCTTAAGTTGACTCTTTTGACGATAAAATCAAGCTTTCGGCATTCTCTATGGAGCCTTCATCAGGATTCTGAAAACACAATTTTGATGCTAGCAAAGAAAACAGGACAGATTGTCAAACAACCTACTCGTCGTTAATGTTGCAGCCACAAGGTGTTTCAAAACGAACGTAGAGAAGATAGAACTTGTAATCAGTATAAAAACAAAAAGACGCGGACATTGGGCTTGTTGAAAACGACAGATACCTTCGTTACATGTTAAAAATATCAATCCACCCGAACAAAGTGGATAGTCTCCTCCCCATCATATCCCACACATGTTCGATGTGATTTAAATCCGGTGCAAAACATTAACGCCTGCTTCTTGAAGAAAGTCCGTAGTAGGACGAACAATATGGAGACGTGCGTTGTCTTGCTGAAAAGGTCGTGTGGACAGCGCTCTAGATACGGCAGTAAAGTGGTTTGTAGGAAATTATCAACATAAAGCGTAGCAGTCAACAGTCATATTGCCTTGAACAAAGAGAAGGGGTGACCCCCAAACCATTACTCTAACAGTCCAGTGTACATGCCTCTCAGCAAATACAGTATCACGACGTTCTCCACGGCAGCGTCTTACCCTTCTACGACCATCGTGTGTACGTAGACAGAATCGCGATTGTTGCCGTTCTCTGCTCCAAAAGTTGACGACAGTGGTCCGCAGTCAGAGGAAGCACTAACCGTGGACGGTAGAAAAAAAGTCGAAAGACTCGAATGCGGCGATAGAGTGTACGCCTACCTTCTTCTCCAAACCACTGGTCAGCGTTCTGACGCGTCGTAGCAAAACGGTCTCATAGGGCTAGTTGTCTGAAGCGCCCATCTTGACGTTCTGTAGTACGCCTCGGTGAACCAGTGGTCATTCTTCGTGTTCCTCTACCTTCTTCTATCCACAGCCGACACACACGCATTACCGCGACCAATTTCGCGATAGCACAAACCAACATCTCGATAGGAAATAATTCTACCCCTGTCAAAGTCACTAGAATGGTGATAATTTGAACGTCTCGAACTCGAGGCATTTTGTTATGCTTAACACTATTAAATGAAAGGGCAATAACTAAATATATCTGTACTAGTCAGCTCTCAGAAACTGCTTTCTTCACAAAAACTAAGAGTAAAAGTAAACAAAAACAAAGATAAAACTTTGATATTATTGCCACAAAATGCTTTAAATATAGACATTATATTGCCAAGAAAACAAGTTGAAGAAATGATTTTTTTTGGGTGTAACAATTTTAATGTCACTGAGTATATATTTGGATACATTTTTTTTAAAATCAGTCTCATCACTTAATTTACAGACCTCGTACACCTCGCACATCAGGCGCTTGTTTAGGTCGACTGGTTTGCGAGACATATTGCATTAATCGGCTACAATATGGGATTTTTTTAGATTTATTAATCATTTATTTTGACAGAAAATTATAGTTTATTTTAGACAATCTTTTAAATATTCCAATTCAAAAACAAATGCATAACCGGAACTAAATGTTTCAAACCATAATTTGGGTAACTTCTACCATTTTTGTTTTGTTTTTTTTTTTACTCCAAAAAATAGCCTAAAATAAATACGTTAATTAATGCAAAATATTGTTTTTTCATATCTTGGATTGATTCATGAAACTTAGTCCACGTTAGGTATATAGAAATTTTTTAATAAGCATAGCCCTTCCTCCTTACCCACTAATTTGTAGGTATGTATGTTTCATGCTCCGAAGGACTTATTTGACAAAATTTCAACATTTTCATATATTTCTTTATTCTTATCTTCGATTGATACACAATACACATCAAAATCTTCGGATAAACTGAAATCCATCAGATAATCGTTTCTATCTGCTTATCTAATCAGCAGCAATGGTTTGTTGCTAGTATTTGTACATACATCGATAAAATTCATATTTTGCTTGGGATCTCCAGAACGTATCAGGATGAAAAACCTTAAATTAATACTGCTAATTTGTGCACACCCAGTTTTCTGTTTATTTTCAGAATCGGATGTCTGTTATTATCGTCTGGTAACAGACTTTTCTCAAGATAATTGTACAGAAAAAACTAAAAATGACGTAGAGAACAAATCCTATTATTATGCGAGAGACTCATCTAGTTGTTTACCGAAGTGTCAAGAATACACAGGCAGTAAGTATACATTCTATGTCAACTATTGAACAAGTGTCGATATAAAACTTGAATTCGGATGGGTTATAAGCCAAGAAGTTCATGGGGTGTATATCCGACTTTTGTGGTTATAATGTTTTCGGAATCGCAAACGGTAAACATAACGTAAAGACATATTTAAAACTTCAATTGTTAATCAGATATCCATTCAAGGAATGAACATAAGCAGCGGTGAAGCATTGGTAGACGTTATGTATGGGTCTACTAATCAGTCACTGAGCATTGCGCATGTTTGAATCCCATCCCAAGAGAATTTTTCTCCTAGTTATGGATGTTGTTATTGTCCGTATACCCTATTTCATGAGTATCCATCGCGGTAATATGACAGCCGGTTATCTGGTAATATTTTAAAATTCCCCATATCGGCAAAGGACACATAATTCTGACGGATCCGTCAATGCCAAGCGGACAGAGCCATATTTTATTTTGGTTTTTTGTACGCTACAGATCCAGTTTGTACTTGCTAAGAGCTCTTTTATTTAGAAAAGTTCATTTGCATACAAAAAACAAAACGCTACAAACAAATTTTTGGCAGATTTACACCCGATTCATTATAGCCAACTGCGCAGACTAACACAAAAATGTCGCTTGCTGGTGAGCTGTTCACCTCAGTAGACGTCAAAGCGTGATGGATACTCGTGAAATAAGGTATAGGTGTTACCGTTCCATAAAACATACACTGAAAAAGGTTTAGTCATGTGCTATCTTAGGGCACCACGGTTGATTTATGTCAGTGTCAATCGCCATTTTTTCTGGAACATTGTACACGAACGCCGCATGCGACGTTGCCGGCTCTTTGCATAAATCTGAGACTATAGTATAATTTTATAGTGCGCATTTCCAATGATATATGGAAGATTGTATAACGCCATGTGTTATTAACATATTTTTGTTGTTTCAACAAATACGTAGTTGCTTATTTTCCTGCTGTAAAAACATGTACACTTACTTGAAAATACATGTTTATCTAAATTTTACATTGTATGAACATGGATAGATTAATTATGGTCCAAATATTTTCATTCTTGGTGGTCTTCAGCAGCACCTGCACGGAAAAATTGTTAGAACTAGTGATGAAAACAAAGTCTTTTCAAAAAGAAATCATAGCTATCATAAACGAGTGCATGGTTACTAGATTTACCAGATTTTTCATAACGATTATAACAAAGGAATATCTAATCACATTTCCATAACACTGATAATCAGAATGTAGAAGTTTTATGGAAAATATAATTATATATAATTTAGGAATTTTTACAGCATCGTTAAAATATATCATACTTCGTATAAGATTTTATATGATTCAAACATGTTGAATATATATTATCAGGATATGTCAGCTTCTTTTTAAGCTATCAATATTTAAAAGAGTAACACCCTTTATGTTAAAGTACATATTCATACATCATCTACTAAATACGACTTTATAATTACAAATTATTTGACCATATTAAATTCCTTCTTTATCGACTGTACATTCAAAGCTTTGTTCCATAAAATTAATAGATTGAAATTTATGTTCTCATCATTTTGTTGTGAATAAGAAGTCTTTTGTGAATCACGGTTATCGTATAATATATTATACAGGGTGACTTCGAAGTTGAGTCATTTATTTTAACAGTGAGTAGATCTGATCAAAAGAAATGTTTTTTTCCTTTAACATTTTTCTGGTAAAATTAAAGTAACAAAGTTATAGCCCTTTAGAAGTTTGAGTACCGCCCTGTCTCAATAATAATATTATGTGCTCGTGTTTGGCGACAACGGATATAATCCGCATCGGTTCATCGCATCGGAAACAAAAAAGCGAAAGAAATTGAAACGCTTATCACGATGTTTTTAGTTGGATTCAGTCGGTAACGCGTGAGTGTTTGTTAGTGTGTTTGTTGCGTGGCTCAAACGAAATAAAAAATGGCACATGTTTACGAAAATCCTGAACTTGTGGACATGATTCTTATTTACGGGGGGGGAGTCTTTGCAAAATGCTGCCGCGGCATCACGGATTTATGCGGATCGGTTTCCCAATCGAGTGCAACCAACCCCTCGTGCCTTTGTTAATGTAGTACAAAGGGCTCGTGAATCAGGTGACTTAAGACCTCACAGGGGAGGGCATGCCGGTGCTCCAAGACCGCACGATCAAATACAGGTCCGCACTGAAATACTTGTCGGGAGGATACTTTATAAAACAAGATAACATTTTTTTTTTATTTTTTTTTTTATTTCTACACACATATTTTTGTTTATCTTCCTTCTACAATCACTAACTGAAAATTAATGACTCAACTTCAAAGTCACCCTGTATGAATATTATAAACAGTAATTCGCATGTATTAGACTCATTAGTACCTACGCATGTACGAGCCCCTTCCCACTTCAGTTGGCCCACTTCAAGATTTGTACCAAAATATGCCTTTATAAACTAAACATGACGAAACTATTTACTTCTAAAACAATTTATTTTCTCAAAAACATTTTAGATTCACTCTAGCCGTAAAAAATACATATTTCAAATCACTTAGACCTATAACTAATAGAACATCTGAACAAATAAACAATGTGCCAATAAATGCGCGAAGCTAACAAAGCAACAATTGAAAGATTACCATTGGGTAAGATCACCTTTCTTTTTTATTACGGCTGAAATTCTTTGGGGCATAGTGTTAACCAAGTTTTGGCAGAAATTTGGTGTAAAACAATCTCATATTTCTTGAAGCTTTTGTCTCAGTTCGGTGATTGTACGAGCAGCATGTTGTCGTAGAACCTTTTTCATCTCGTGCCACAAAGTTTCAATAGGTGACAGATCTGGACTGCTAGAAACCCATTTCAAAAGTGCTACATTATTTTCTTCCATCCATTTTATAGCCTTTTTTGAGGTATGGCACGCTGCACCATCTTGCTGAAACACAAAATCTTGGCCGGATGTCAAACATTCTTCCATCACTGGTAAAAGCGATTCTTCTAAAATTGCCAAATATTTGTTTGTATCCACATTTCCATCAATAAAATTAAGATTTCCTACTCCTTTTAATGACATACTGCCCCAGACAATAATGGATGCTGGAAATTTCACTTTTCTCTTCAGACAGTCTACATGGAATGCTTCCTTTTTTTGCGAATAACTCTACCGCGACTGTCACCAACATAAACTTCGAATCGGGCCTCATCACTCCATTGTATTGCACGCCATTGTTGAGGTGTCCATTGTCTATGTTCTTTAGCCCATCTAAGCCGATTTTTCTTTTGCACTGGAGTTAATAGTGGCGTTTCTTTGGCCTATAAACAAGTTGTGCAACTTTAGGATTTTTACTTCACTTATCTTGCAAGTGCTAAATCCCAGTTTGTGGGTCTCTCTATGAGCCTGTTTTTCACGATCATTCTTCTTAATGCTCTTCGGTCGGCATTTGTGATATTACTTTTTTCACATATCGTGGCTTAATATTAACTGAACCAGTCACGTTATATCTTCTAACAATATTTCTCACACTGTACGGCGGTAAGTCTAACAAAGTTGCAATTTATGAGTTTGATTTCCCAGAATTAACAAATTTAATTATCAGTAACCGAATTTTCTCATTAATAACCTTTCCTCTACCCATTTTGAAAACCTTAACTACCCAAAACTATTTTAAACGTATTCTGACAGCTGTGATTAATAAAAACAGTTGTCATGGCTTTTATTTTTCACAGGCACCTATGCGTTATAGACTTATTTTGCATTGAAATGAAAATAGGTTGATATGCTGTAATTGCAACATGTGTTATTTTTATGCTGCAAATTTGATTAGGTAGTGATAAAGTTGGTGTTTTCTACTATATATTATCAAAATATTCATTGTTAATATTTTAAAACTGTAACACCCTGCTACATTTTTATTATTTGTGTTTGATAAGAAAAAACTAAGATTTCAATAGTTGGGCCAACTGAAGTGGGAAGGGGCTCGTACATATAAGGAATGAACAAGGAGAGGATGCACTACCTTGAAAAAGCACGTAATTTTATTTTTGCAGCAGGAAAACACTACCGTGTATTTTCAGTATTTTGGAAACGAGGTGATTCAAAAAATATTGGAGGAAAGTTGATAAAAAATGATCATATGTCTCACTAGGACAATCAACAAATACTTATTTTCCTGTTTTTCAGAACAATGTAATGTTTTTTCCATATATTTTGTGATCCGTATATATAATAATAATAATATTTATTTTCCAAAATACAAAAAAATGGGCAAATAAATATGATAAAACCACAGAAGGCATCGCCTGTGTGTGGTTTATATCTTAATAACTAACAATCAATCATATATGTGTATAACAATTATTGTTAAATCTAAAAGGTATTAATGTAATTGGAATTTTGTAGTTTTAGTTTTCTATATAATTATGTATAGTCATTCGCTGCACATTACTAACCCAGTCTTTCAATTTTCTTCTAAATTTTTTTCCAAAATTAACTATCTTTATTTCGTTTGGAACTACATTATATAATTTAGCTGCTAAGAATTTAAATGATTTTTTGAATAATGTTTTGTGTGGTCTTTGGATATTAGATGAGCCTATTCGAAATCGTGTGTTATGCTCGCTCCCCTGTGAGGTCTCAAGTCACCTGATTCACGAGCCCTTTGTACTACATTAACAAAGGCACGAGGGGTTGGTTGCACTCGATTAAGAATAAGAATCATATCCACAAGTTCACCATTTTCGTAAAAATGTGCCATTTTTTATTTCGTTTGAGCCACGCAACAAACACCACTATTCACTCACGCGTTACCGACTGACACATTGACTGAATACATCTGAATAAAATTGTAGTAAAAACATCGTTTCAAATTCTTTCGCTTTTTTGTTTCCGATGCGATGAACCGATATGGCGGATTATATCCGTTGTTGCCAAACACGAGCACATAATAGTCTTATTGAGACAGGGCGGTATTCAAACTTCTAAAGGGCTATAACTTTGTTACTTTAATTTTACCACAAAAATGTTAAAGGAAAAAAACATTTCTTTTGATCAGATCTACTCACTGTTAAAATAAATGACTCAACTTCAAAGTCACCCTGAATATATTCATGCAATACGAAATCATACATAAAATTTGTCACACAAGTCAATATCTAATTGCAAAGCAAGAGGAAAAAGATGAGAATGACAATGTTTCTTGGTCCATAGCTGGGATTGAACAAACATATCTACACCAGAAACTTGTCTTAGTGTTTTTAAAATATGTTTCTTTATTATCGTAAGGTTCAATGGCAAATGTACAGGATGTATGTTTAATAGGTGCGAAGAATTTCCGAGTTTGGAAGTGTATTAATTATGATTTTGGACTTTAACTTTCACTTGATTCAAATGTCGATACCCTTTAATTCTACATTCTATGTTAATCCTTTTCGCTCGTAGATCCTAATAACTTCCCATGTTCCAATGAGAAGCCATGTGTGCCTGGGTTCAGCTGTGAATATAGATGCTATAGAGACTTTGGTAAGCCATTATTATTCTTCTCCAGACCCTAAGCCATTTAATGAAGGCGTGAGGTAGGTGGACCGTGAAAGGCCATGCCCTTTGTATGCCCGATTTTTTAAAACTCTCTACTCACCTTAACACTCATCGTACTCAACAACACAGACGCAACGACGAGTCGCTCACGTCAATATTTTGCCAATGCGGTCTCCAGCTTTATTGACTTTGGTCGTCGGCGTTAAAATTACAATACGAGCTCACAGCAAAACTAAGTTTTCAAGCAATCGAAGATAAAATTTGTTTTACGAACATCTGCGGAATTAGCAGCAACATTGATGCTGTTCATCACTACCTTCAATCCAAACGTCCCGCCATGTTTTTCTTGGCGGACACAAAAAGTCTGCACCGATTAATCATCTTAGCTTTCCAAATTATGAGGTGCACTCCAATCAGCAGTCTTTCCTGCTCCAGAGCCGCTTCTTTGGAATCAGACCGGAAGGATATTCTGTGGCTTCGTCGCTTCCTCGGACCATAAATGGGATGACCTACTCCTCGCTGTCAAGATCGACTTCCTGATCATTCACCCCGCTTCAGAGGTAGTTCTCCTCGGTGATTTCAATGCCCATAATGAGCTTTGTTTGGGCTCATGCAGCAGGTCGTGCAGTTGAAGCTTTCGCTCTTACTCAAGGGCTGACCCAGCTGGTGACGAGCACAGTTTTTTCTCCCGTGTCTCGTCACAAACCAGTAGCCTGCCGGATCTCTTTCTGACCACGCACCCTAACCCTTACAGCACTGTTGCCCCGTCCCCCATGGCTAACTCAGACCCCGGTGCTGTGGAGGTAAGGTTTCGGTCAGAACCCGCTGTGACAGCAAAATTCGGCATTACGGACATATCGACTGGGGCTCAGATACTTCTTCTCCACCTTTCCTTGGAGAGATGTTTGTTACGCTGACGCGGATGCATCAGCTGTCTGTTCTTCGATAACCGAAATTATCCACTTCGGGATGGAGGAATACACCCCTCATTCAGTGAAAGTGCCTAAACCAGGGTCCAACGGCGGTTCAACAAATCGTGTGTCACTGCTCGCCAGCAGAAGATGATGGCACACAGAACCTTCTTACAAAACCTTACTGTAGAGAACAGACCAGCCGACGTCGAGTCCAGAAACAAATATAACGAAGCAGTTCGAAATGCAAAGACCTGCTAGATATAAAAGTTAAAGTCGGTCTTTCTGGACGCTGGTCAAGCAAATTGAAATACTTCTCACAGAGTAGCCTTCCATCACTCACGTGTCAGGATGGAACGATTGTAACCGAATCAAAGGCTAAGGTGGAAGTGCTTGCCAAGATCTTTGCTACCAACTCCACCAAACGCCCAACTGCCGTCGATTCACTATGCGCGAAGTAACATTCACGCATAAGACCGTAAGACGGGTGTCTTGTCGCTCGACATGAACAAAGCTTCTGCTCCGGACTTGATTCCTGCCATTTTATTGAAGAGGTGTGCAGCGGATCTTGCTTCAGTTCTTTTGGGTCTCTTACAAATATGAATCTGGCACCTTACCAGAAGAGTGGAAATTTGCTCATATCCATCATATCCCAAAAAAGTATCTACAAGCGACCCTTACAACTACAGGCCCATAGCTTACGTCACGTAATTGTGGAGTAAACTCATCCAGAGTTATGGTGAGGCTCATGTCGTTGCTCTTGATATCACGAAATCGTTCGATCAGCTGTGGCACGCTGCTCTCTTATGCCAACTTCCATCCTATGGTCTCTCAGAGAAGCTGTGGATGGCTGACTTTTTCTCTGGCCGCAACATATCCGTCGCAATTGAAGGGTTCTCCTTTTCATCCCATGTCAACGCGGGTGTTCCTCATGGATCGGTCTTGACTCCGACACTGTTCCTATTTCATATCAACGACCTCCTTTCTTGTACAATCAACCTAATCTACAGCTTTTTCGATGACAGCACTCTACATGTAGTAATTCAGTACGACAAGTCGATCCGAGACGATGTAAACTGGTCGTAAATAACAAAATAATAGAACAAGTGATGGAAACGGAATACTTGGGAATCAAACTTTCAAGCTATGGAAAAGTGGAAGAAGTACAAAAACAAGTGAACATGGCGAATACAGCAGCAGGATGTCTCAACAATACAATCTGGAGAAACAAATACGTCGCAACAGAAACGAAAACTAGGATATATAAATCAACAATAAGACCGATAATGACATACACAGCGGAAACAAGAGCAGATACGGCTAAAACACAAAGATTATTGGAAACAGCGGAAATGAAAGTCATACGAAAAATAACAAACCAAACTCTAAGAAGTAAGAAGTGAGGAAATACGAGCGAGATGTGGTATAGAGGAAATAAACCTGTGGACCAAAAGAAGAAAAATAGAATGGAATCAATACATAGAAAGAATGACAGAAAATAGAACAGTACGAATAGCGAGAGACAAATCGGAAAATGGAAGAAGATCAATGGGACGACCGAGGAAAAGATGGTCAGACAACATCAATTGAGGCTAAAAACCGAAGTAAAACAGGCATGAGCCTATTAATAAAATATGAAGAAGAATAGGAAGACAAAGAAGACTAGCGGCGACTTCCTCTCTGGAGAAAGACCTGGAGGTTCTCACTATTTGGGGACGCAACAATCATGTACAGTTTAATGCTTCCAAAACACAGTACTGTACCCTTACGAACAAAAAGTGTCCTAGCGCTCATTCGGTTTCGATGGCCGAGTTCTAACAAAGAGCCGTTGATTCCGGCGAGTCTGAGTCCAGATCACCGAAGACTTGATCTGGCACAAACGTATCTCATCAATAGCGGCAGCTGCTGGGGGAAAGCTAGACTATTTGCTTAGGGCCCAGATAAGGCCTAGCCTCGAGTATTGCTCACAAGTTTGGGGTGCTGCTGCCCCGACTACATTATTTATGCTAGATACTGTACAGATGAAGGTTGTCCGACTGATCGATGACTCTTCTCTAACAAACAGTTTCGGCGATCTAACTCTCTTCTACCGCTACACCAACGGGCTTTGCTCCTTAGTCCTCTCCACTATGATGCCGCTGTGCGATTTGCCTGCCAGGCAGACCCGTCTTGGGTTGTGAAGCCCAGCTCGCATGCATGCTACGCAAGTAGCTGTCTGAAGTATGCTGCTCGTGCATCCTGGGTGGTGCTAAACAAGCTGATGCCTCTGGACGTTTCTTGGATAGTGTCTGACCCGGAGTGGGCGACTGTCAGTGGGTAGGCTGGACTCCTGAAGCCGTGGTGAAGACAACCGGTCTAGGGATACTGACCCGAAGAACTCAAAAGTGAACTGACTGATGACGAACTTGCGATGAGCTGGACAAAGGGGATCATTTCAGCGTCGGGGCCCACTTAAAGTACTCCTCAGAAGTTGCTGCGAGCCTGCTCAGCCAATAAGTGGCTGCGACGCTGAAGTATGGGCCAGCCCCTTCAGGCCCTGATCAGGTAGTGTACCATATAAGTTATGGTATTCTGATAACATTAACATCATCCAAGTCCCAACGAGTATAATACCGTTCTATACTAGTGAGACAGGATGTGAAGCTTGCATTTTCACCCGACACATTTCTGGAAAATTGTTATCTTGAGATATAAAACCGGTCGTCGACCATTCTCTGTACTCATTTCGTTACTTAATCCCCTGTAACCAACTGTTGCTGATGCATTAATAAAAGTTCATCTACAAAAGTACTGACAAATTTATTTGGCGCTGCGAACAGGATACCCAGCCTTCATCGAGTAGTGTGACTTAGTCAGAAATCACGAAGATTCATTGAGAAGCCAGCTGAACTTGAAGGTAAAAGTTTTCAAACTTTTGCAATTGGGTATCGCTACTGAAACCTGTGAACGAGCTCCGAGGCCGGTAAGACCTCTCAAGTTCCTGTTTCAACTTCATCCTAGTGGCCGGTAAGACCACGCAAGTTCCAGTACCTTTGTGGAGACAACTTTTGCATCCAGAACAGCCGGAAAACAGAACGAATGGGTCCCTTGACGACATCGATGCTGATCACGTCATTGTAAGTAGTTTAAGAAACTTATTAAGAATAAGAAGATTTTTATTGAAGAAATTAAAGAAGAAAGAAGATTTTGCAATTAATTGATATTGTACAAGGAAGAGATAAAATTTGGAAAACAAGACGAATTATTTGTAAAAATATTTTATTTTGCTACATCTTTGATTGCTAGTTTTAAGATTGTATTTTTATGCCTCTTGTTAGACGATTTACTAGAGAGAGTTCATACTCCCCTTACACTTATCCACATTTAAGTTCTAGTTCTAGTGATTCTTCTCTTGAACCAGATATTTCAAATTCTGAAATCACAATGGCACAACCAAATGGTAATGAAGGTTACAGAATGCTTGAACTACGATTCAGGAGTCTCAAAGACTTTCTGCCAAAATTTTCTCCTAACCAAAGTAATTTGTCTACCTTTATACGAGAAAGTGAGTTGTTCATTTCAAAATTTCAAAACACAGAATTCGAAGAGCCTGCTGTCGAATTGGTCATGTTAAATATTCGAGATCAAGCTCTTGAAAAGGTCAGAAATCACGGTGCCACTTCATGGGTCGAAGCTCGTGATGTTCTTGTTAGAAATTATAAGAATACTAAAAATGAAACAGTCTTATCAAATGAAATGACTATGACTATAAATACTTGTGAAACATGTCTCAAAGCAAAATACGAACGACATCCTTTAGTTCAACCTATTCAAGGTCCCTTCTTTTCCACTGCCCCATTCCAATTAATGTTTATTGACGTCTTCACTATTGAGAAGAACAAGTATCTCACGTTCTTTGATCATTTTTCAAAATACGCCCAAGCTTACCATTTAGTCTCCTCCAATCAAATTACTATCCTTAGCAAATTGAAACACTTCTTTGCACATCATGCCTTTCCTAAAGCGATTCATGCCGATCCTGGTGAATTAAATTCAAATCTCATTAAAGATTATTGCAAAGAACACGGTATTCTC